CTGAACATATTTTGTTACAAACATTTGCCTTGATTTTGTACTTCGGGTAGCGCTCACATCTTTTTTTCTGACTTTACTTAAAAAGTCCATGTATTTGTATGGACGTGTTCTATTAAGGAATAGAAAATGCGCGGCGTGTTCCAATTTGGAACGGGAAAAAATTAGAACACGAATATACTCGCAATAATCCCACAATAAGTGCGCGAAAAAATAATCTTTTTCCGCGAAAAGTTATATGGTGCGATTCGGCAGACTATTATTAGTATTTCTCTACAAAATTTTGAAGATTTTATTGAACTCTGTAAGCAAAAAAGACTTTTTTCTTCAACTTGATTGAAAATCTCCATGTATTTGTATGAACGTGTTCTATTTAGGAGCAGACAGAAAAGAAAAGAAATTCATAGTAACNACGTAGATCGATAATCCGGACTCTCTTCGGCAAGCTGAAAACTTTTTTTCTACCTTTAGAAATGACTTCAAAAATTAGAAAAGAGTCAACGTGAAATTTTTCGTGTTCTAATTGCGGCGAACGACTCTGAGTTGAATGATAGGGTATCTAAACAGAACAGACTTTTTTCCACTGACTCCTTTTTATTACAACTCAGATATATTTGCGATATGCACTTTCAGTTCTAATACAGATCACAGATATTAGAGCAGATTGAAATAGTGCTTTCGTTTTTCCCATCTTAATGGGAAAGAAAGCACTATTTCAATCTGCTCTATTCACATGTTTAATCGTTACATGGAACAAGAAACCTAACACAATAGAACGAAATTTTCCGTTCTGTTTCTTTTTCTTTTTTTCGTTTTGTTTTCTTAGACGATGAAGAATAACGAAGTAATATTTCTACCATTATAGAAAGAAGAACACTCGCTATAGACATTTGCTAACATTTGCCAAGAAGTGAAAAGATAACATAAAAGTGTTGAATCGTACATTCAGCCTAACTATACAATAGGTAAGGTGCTAATAATGCAAACCTAGAGCAAAACCTTTTTCTAGTTTGTTCTACATGATTGTATAGAGCGCGTCGAGCTGATTAAGAAAATGTGTGTTTCGACTTTTCAAAATCGATTTTTAACGTCGAAAAATCGAGAAAACTCAAAACAAACAATGTTCGAAACAGCCGGAGTATCCGACTTCTTTGCTAATTCGGCATGCTCAAACTATTTTTTTCCAATTCAGCGTCGAAAACTGAATGAAAAAATGGTATTCGATCAGTTTCGAAGTTAAGAGCCTGTCCAGCATGGGCATCCGAAAGTAACCGTCGGGAATAGGTATCCTATCCGAGTACTTTAATTTTTAAAAAGCAGTTGAGTATGACTATCTTCGTTTTTAACTGCTATAAGAACTAATTTGGTTGCTTATCTGTCCAAACACCGCGCTTCCGCTTAAACTTAGAAGAGGTTTTTAACTACAAGCGGCCTAGAACTAGTCCATCATTCTAAACTGCACTGTGAACCACCATTTTTTACTTTGGCAGTTACTGAAATGCAATCTTTTTCGTAAAGAAAGCCAGAGGACCAATAGAAGCTCTGCTTTACAGCGCTTGCTTATGCTCCTGGGAAATGGTCAAGTTCATTCACTTTACGTACATATATCGTATTTTCCCCAATGCAATTGAGTCAGTCGTTTCATTCACGAAAATCTTTGCTAAAATGAAATCAGTTATTCCTCATCGTCTAAGAAAACAAAACGAGAAAAAGAAAAAGAAACAACGGAAAAAGTTTCGTTCTATTGTGTTAGGTTTCTTGTTCCATGTAACGATTATTGGATCAGCCGCCATAAATTTCAATAGTTATGTATGGCAGAATAAAATTTAATTCGAGACCTTCCCGGCTACAAGGCTAACGATAGAAATACCCCCTTTCGTTTATCTTAATCGTATGTCCGTCAACTTAGATATATATCTTACTGATGGATTGCTGTCAATAGTATTTGATTTCGTATCGTTCTAACAAAAATTGAATTCAATGAAACGAAAGAAAGAAAGACTATTGATCGTATAATCGAATATATATCCGACTAAAATGGACAAAACCCGGACGATTTTCGCTATCGTTCGTTTGTTTTGCTATATTTTAACAAGTGTATCGCCATATTCGATGTCATTTCGCCCATCACTAAATAAACGTATATATATTAATTATGCTTCATTTATTACAATCTATGTTTTCAGATTTAATTTATGTGACGTGAAGAATGAACCGAATTAGTGTTACACCTGAGCATGATACATTATGGGAAGACGTTGATGATAGTTGTTTAGAAAATGTCAAAGTAATTAGAGTGCGTCAAAAGCCTGAAGATATGTTTTCTCCATATATTTCTTTGTTACTAGTTATTAAAAGCAACATATAGTAAATTATTTAATCAGTATGGAGAATCATGTAAAACACTATTATTACGTTTATTTGAAAATATTGAATTTATTGTTCAACGAGAATTTATAGATTATAAAAAATTAGACACAAAATACAAGTATGTTCATATTAATTATTAGGTTAGGTAGTACTAATTACTTTTTACTTTTTAAGAAATATGGTTCGGCAGTGTCAGTTATACGAAAAGATATTTAAAGAGGTACGTTACTTTTCCATTCGAGATGATCTATTATGCTTTATTCGTTTTGATTTAAGCACAATTGTCAATGGTCATTTTTGAAGTACGTGTTATTTTATTAGTGGTATTCATGAGAAAGAGTATCTTTTTCTTCCATTACACTGTGTTGTTCTAATTCTAGTGATGAATCGTGTGATACCTACGCTGATCACAGTTTAACAATGATCACACCGTTTCATGCTCAAATCGTAGCTCCTGATTTACTTCAGTCAACAACGGCTATTGGAACATATCGACATCCCAAACGTTCGACACTATTTGTTTCTCACCTTTCAAACTCTAAATATGCTTCAACATCCACAAGTGTTAAACAACATCAAGAAAGCCTTTCGGCTCCTGCTGCCATTATTGAACAAGGAACGATGAAAACTTCACCGATTTTTGACAATGACATTTTTAATCAAACAAACTCATTTTTTGAGACAAGTTTAGTTGGAATTCAACAACAAACCCACGATTCTTGTAGCCAGACACCTCGTTTTGAAATGATGAATGAGGATACACAGTCTGCTATTATACAACAAAATATTGGCTTACAAACTTCACTAATTGATCAAATAGAACAGATGGTAAGTAGTCGTATTTTTGCTCCCCAAGGTCAAGAATGGAAAGTTTAATTATTTCAGCTTGTTTTTGTTTTTTTTCCAGTGTGAGAAAGAAATCCAAACTGATCAAACAACAATTCTATCCACGGTGTACGATTCTGTAATTCATTTCTCGTTTCCTATATATTCTTCAACGATTTATCTTCCAGTTCCATCTTATCGTGATTGTGTTGATAAAGCAATGCAATGTACAGATCTGTCTATACTTGAAACATCTTCGTCAAAGCGTTTATCATCCATACTCTTACCATCACTAACATCAAATCGTTTGCTTCCACCTCCTTCATCAAGAAGATCAAATCTTCTATCAGATGTTGATAATATCAAAAATACATCGATGCAAACTGAACAAGAAACAGATACCTCACTCGATGAGCGACAACGTCTAGCTCAAGATATAGCGAGATTAAGAGAATCAAATGAGAAAAAAGATGAAACAATCCAGTGGTGGATTGAATCTTCAACAAATGCCAGAATTAAATCTAAAGGTAAGTTGATTTAGAAACATGAGGTTGATTTAGAAACATGAGGCTGTAGTTTGCCGTAGCCTAAAATCGTGCTAAAAATGTATCATGTTTTTTAGAATTAACAATACAAATTCAACTTCTTTCCAAAAATCGTCAACAAATCGAAACAAATCTTCTGGATGTTTTAGAACAATTAACGTTGGTATGGAAAGTAATGTGTTGTGGAAATGAGACAGATCATGGTGATAAAGAAGATTGTTGGCCACTACCACCCGCAGGTGAATGTCTGAAAACATCTATAAATGGTCGTTTATTATCAAATCAACAAATGTTTGACGAAAATATTGATCAGTCAAGTCTTATAACAAGAATAAATTCATTATGTCAATTAATTATGAAAAGATTACAATTTGACAACAAGTGGCATGTGGATTTTGAAAAGGTATACACTTGACTATCGTCTTATGTTTTTCATTGAAAAGATGAGATATTTTTAAGGGTATTTGTGACAATAATAAATTATGTAATAATGATGATCAACTAAAATTAATACCACTTGATATTGATCATTACAATGATGAATTAACAATGTTAAAGAATGAATTAGATAAAGAACGAAATGCAAAGTAAACTTTTGACCTGAATATTTCATGAAAAATAAGGAGATTATTAATTAATAAAAGTAAAAGTTATTTTCTTTAGATATGAATTGATTGAAAAACTCGCTAAAGCCACACAATTAATAGAACAAATGATGTATAATTATAAAAGTGAGAAAAATGAACTTGAATTATTATTAATAGGTAAAGATGAACAAATAACTAAACTTGTTTCAAAAGTGAGTAACTATTGAGAAGAGACATTCAGTAATATATATAGAATATTTTTATATTTAAGGATATTGATCATGCTAATAAAGAATATGATATTCTTCAACAATTAAATAAGGAAAAAGAAAAAGAATTAAACAAAATAACGGGTAAGATAAATTAGCAACTTAAAGCACTTTTATTATATATTATTTATCAAGAGTATTGTTTATCGACTTAATCAAAAAAATTTCCTAAAAATGATAGTTTACAATGACCACTTCTATCATCAAAATTGCGCAGTATTAAAATAAGTTACTGTAAACTGAAGACAATGATCGAACAGGACCACTAAATGAACTCTAATTTCAACATTTATATTCCCAATCTATACGAAAAATTAGGAAATCTTTTTTTTTAGAGGAATATGCCATATTGTATTATGAATATGAGGCGGAACATCGTCGAAATATTGATTTATTAGAAGCTAAAGATCGTTTATGTGATCATATTAAAATGTTGTCAGACGAATTAGGCGATAAAGAAGTGAGAAAATTAAATTTTGAATAGATAAAAATTTTAAATTCTTCTTTTTTAACGTACCTTTAGGTTAAAGAAGAAAAACTAACGATTAAAAGTGGACAACAACATAAATTGATTCATTATATGTTGCCAAAAATTGATTGTACACCAACATCAAAGAAGGTATATTTTGTATGATCAACTCGTAGGAGCTGTTACACGGTAGGAACGATCTAAGCTGCTCAATCAATATCCAGGTTTTTCATTGAAACTTTCTCGCTAAATAGCAGCACCATATTTAGGAAGATTCCTAAAATTTTTAGAACGGAACTCTTTGAAAGTAAATGAAATTTTTCGTAAAAGTAAGTTAAAAACAGCCGAAAGTAATACCTTTATAAAAATGGAATTTATTTTGTTTACATTTCAATCTAGAAAATAGATTAAAAGGTCACAGTTGCAGTAGAAGTGGTTGACGTCGAGCACTATCTATCGCGAAGAGCATATACAAAAATAAATGTCAGATGAGTGCGGACAATATGGCCAAAACGTTTACTTTTGTTCGACTTTCGAAAATAATTTTGCTTACCGAAAGTCACGCGCCATCACAATATGTAGTATGGATACATCTTTATAGTGCACAAGATTCCTCGAATTTTAAGGTGTATCGGAATGGAAAATCAATTTTCCATTTGATTCTCATTTAGTTTCGGGGGAGAGGTGCTCTTGAGTATCGTTAGATTTCAGACAAAAGTATTTAACCGCCAAAATATATTTTTCTGTCGAAATGAGAGAGTTACTTGTATACTAAAACTGTTTTTCTCTTGTCTACCTGATCCACCTGAAAGTTTTATCGTGAACTGTAAGTTGTAGTTTTATTTCTTGATTCTGCACCCAAGATAACAAAAGGTAAGTCGAAGGGTATGCTAAAATAAATACAGTACTAACCTGATGTTAATCGAACACTTTCGGTATTTGTGCTTGTAAATAATTGTTTCTGGGTAATATTTTCTAAACTTTCGAATTGAATACTGTCCAAACGTATTTAGAGAACAGGGACCGAATTATGTGAAACTTATTTGACCTGACACGAAATTTCTTTTCCTTCACCGGAATAAAGTCCCGAAATAGTCCCCGAAAAAAAAGAGCCCGAAAAAAGTCTTTGGCGCTAATAGTACGTGGACAAACGGCATGGACTGCGTCAAAAAGTGATTTTTGGCCACTGAAATTGATTGGATGAAAAGTTCACAGAAATTTACTTTCGAGCTTTTAGTCATAAATCCAAAAGGTCACCTGGATTCTTCCAGTCAATTCTAAGAAAAAAGCAAAACAGCGCCCTCTATATGAGTTTTCTCAGAAGTGACTGGAAGAATCCAGGTGACCTTTTGGATTTATGACTAAAAGCTCGAAAGTGAATTTCTGTGAACTTTTCATCCAATCAATTCTAGTGGCCAAAAATCACTTTTTGACGCAGTCCATGCTGTTTGTCCACGGACTATAATAAAAGGGCTGTAACTGCAGATTTTTCGTAAAAAAATCCATGAAAAAACGAAAATTTTTTTCTGGTGACCCGAACCGGATTCGAAATGTTTTTTTATTTCACTCTCACCCGATTCCACCCGTTGCGGTCTCTGATGAAGAATGAATTGATTGAAGGAGAAAAAAGATTGTCAGTAAGGTTTACAAATCATAAGTCAACTTTTCATTATACTGCTTCTTTTTTTATCCAGTAGAAAACTATTCCCTAACTGTCACCATATTACTGTTTTCAATGAGAGGTCATTCAATAGTTGATGTAAATAATAACGAAATTTAAATAAAAATTGCAGAAGCAGTATAATGAAAAGTTGACTTATGATTTGTGAACGAATGCTGATAGTTGATTAACGAAATTTAAATAAAAAATTGCCTTATGATGGTCTCGGAGAGACCGAAAGCTCGCAAAAGAAAAAATTTCTGATATGTAGTCATCGATATACTAAAGTTTATAAAAAGACTTATTAAAAACTGATATATTTTAGACAAATCATCTGGTTGAGTCAAAGCTCCCATTTTCTGTAGTGATGTATCCATACTATATATTGTGATGGCATTTGAGTTAACGTGTGACTTTCGGTAAGCAAAATTATTTTCGAAAATGGAGCAAAACTAATAGTTTTTTATCATAGTGCCTGCATTCATCTGGCATTTATTTTTTGCACATGCTCTTGGCTATAGATAGTGCTCGACTTCAACTACTAGTGCAAGTATCACCTTTTACTCTGCTTTCTGGATAAAATATAAAAAAAATAAATTACACCTGTATAAATGCTGAAAGCTTGAGCAGGAAACTGGGTCATCGCATGAACAGATTATGCAACTAACGGCTGTATGTATAGTGCAATGACTGAAAAAAACAGTATATTTCTCTCGAAGTATAACCATGATTTCTTTTCAGGACCATAAAGGGCATTTTCTTCGCCTATTGCCAAAATTTAAATGATGAAGAGTGAGGACGAAGACTGTTAATGACCTTGTTCAATAGAATAATGTCAAATATAATTTTTTGTTTTTGTTTGTTACTGTTCTCTCCTTTTGCTGTGAATTTTAATCTCAATAGTTCAATGTATGAAAAATACAAAGACAGTTCTTTGTACAAATCGTTTTTGCAACTTGTAATTTTATTGATAAAATCTCTCTTTTTCTTTTGATGTCTTGTTTTGTCTGCTTTTGTGAATGCCAAACAGCTTTTTGTCTCGAATTTTAATTTATATTGTTAGTTCAAAATTTCAAAAAGAAGACGTAAGAATCTTTTTAAATAAATATTTTGTCGATGTACATTGCCTGCGATTAGAATCAAAAGCCTCTTGTATTCACAAACTTTATCTAATACTTGTTCTACCACCGAAATGTTTGACTACACTCAATATTGAAAGAAAGTTTGCATTATATGTAATAAATACTAGTTTAATCGGAGGTGTCCCATTTTTTCTCAAATGTCGACGTTCTAATTTTCCACATTTTGTACACATGCACTTGATATTTTCCCAAACCTTTATTGCGTACTCGATCACCATTTTTTCAAGCTTCAACTTACTATCAATCATAAGCCTCATTTGGATGATTTTTGTATGACTGCAAATAATTTAGTTGAGGCTGTTATCGTCGTTGTTCAGAAAGTATTGTATTTATTTCATCGATTCGTCCGGTTGAGCTTGAATTGGTGCAATTTCAAAAATGAAATCTTCACATACAATTACAGTTTTATGATTAGATCGAGATCGAATATGTTTAATAGCTAACCATGATGACCAATAATAGCACCGGTATGATCAGAAACATCAATTTCTGTTTATAGGTTCTATCACTCATTGTTGTTGTAAATTATTGTTTCGTAACAAAATGAGATGAACCTTACTGACAATCTTTTTTCTCCTTCAATCAATTCATTCTCCATTAGAGACTACAACGGGTGGGATCGGGTGAGAGTGAAATAAAAAAACATTTTGGATCCGAGTCGGGTCACCAGAAAAAAATTTTCGTTTTATCAAAGATCTATGATGGTGTTTTCAAAGTAAACAGATAGCATTTTCGATATTTCTATTCGTTTATATCTATTGTAGTTTTGAACATTTTTCCTCTAGAATTTTCGTACATTGTTGTATTTAACGGTATATTAATTTTGTTATGTATTTGTTTTCGATTTTGATTAGTAATTTTGTATTAGAGTTCTATCGTAGAGCGTAAATTCGTCTTTTTCTTGATGCGGCATGCAGAATCTGTATGTCAGACATTATGTGCATCTTGTCGTATGTGAGATAAAGAATTTACGGTCTACGATAGAACTCTATTATTAGACTGTTTGGTAGGCCATTAATGTATTGACATGCTCATATATTCAGGATGATGAATGTTTTTAAGATGATGTCAATATATCCGTATGATGAGTATTAGATCAATGACATGGTGTCATTTCCACATTTCCACAATAGATGATACTATCTATAGAGAACAGTTGTCAAGGTTAACTTTAGAAAAACGTGGATATTAGACAAATAAGTTTTAAAGAACTAGAAACAAAGTTGTAACTATTGCTCTAAAAATTTTTAAATTTTGAAAATATCTTTTTTAGAGATTTTAAATTTAATTCTAATTATTAATGATTCGAATCACTTCTAAACGTTTGTTACAATTAAGAATTGTTAACCGATACTATTTTGTTTATTTAATAGTAAATACTTCACACTGGCAAGATCTTATGAAAATATTGCACACATTTCTTTCGTATCATTTTTATTTGTTTATTTATCTTTTATTTTCGAATCCTATTTTAATAATTAATAGTTTACAGACAATGGTTTTAACAAAATTTTTTCTATACACTTTAAATATAAAAATATCACATAATACTATATATCAAACATAATTAAGAGAATAGAACACTTAGAACGTTTCCGGAAAATTTTGAAGAAGAAGGATATCTGACATTTCATAATCATGTATTGAGCAGTTAGCACTATTTGATGCACACCATTCTATACACTTTTCTAATACTGATACATGCTCAACAAATCTTTTCGACCAAAACAGACCTTTAATAGAATTCTCCCCACACAACCAAGCCTTCCTAAACTCGTTCACATTTAGTTGTTCGAACAGGAGTTCTCCGTCAACTGAATCTGATAGCGCTGCGAAATATCTATCCCAATACCTCATACATCTATCCTCAAGCGGGATTTCATCGAATACAAAGGCAAAAAAGGCATCTGATCAGTGAAGGCAGAACGTAATCCGTTTGAAACATGTGTAGTAAAAGTGTGATAGATCATTACGCTGTTTTTCTGTAAATAAAGGGAATAATACAAATAACCATGTAAATAGAGGTAGAACATAGGATAGAAATAGTGCTCTTCTCAAATAGACCGATGTGGAACCAGCGATACGGAAGGAATTTATCATGGCAATCCTTTGTTTGATTTTGATCATGCTTTTTTTTATCATCTTGCCCCATCCTAACTTGGACGATATCTAGTAGCCTAGGTATTTAAATTCATTAACCTAGTTAATACAGTTACCTCCTAATGTTATGCTAAATTTTGGAGATCCGATAGCTCTTGCAGACCATAATGCTTCTGTTTTTAAGAAGTTTACCGGCTGTACAGATAAAATAGCATAAAATTCTAACTGATCGCATAACAATTTCAGTCTTCTTCCCAAATCCATGCACTGTTCTGTGTACCTAACCCCTATTCGTCCAGCTAGAACTGCAGCTAAATCATCAGCAAATAAAAAGCTTGAACAATAGTTTAGAAAGTCGCCCATATCCGCGTGGTAAGTGATAAATATCGTAGGAGTAATGATGGATCCTTGAGGGCCACCTCTTTGAATAAAAAACCATCGTGACTTCCTTCCTTGGATTTCAATGAAGGCTCTTCGATTCTCTAACCATGATTTTATCCAATTCAAATAGGCTCTGGGTATTCCCATCCTTCTAAGTTTACCCAAGCAGCCCTCGAACCATAACTGATCGAACGCCGATTTAAAATCAATAAATACGGTCGCTACTGGTGAACTATTTGCCATCATCGACGACACCTGTTCCAGAAATAGAAGTACCCTCGTTTGCAGACGAAATTTTTCTCTGAATCCCGATTGGATATCTGGTAAGAGACCTCTTCTAGTTAATATATTACGAAATCTCGTTAGAAATAGTTTTTCGTCGACTTTCAAAAATACATCCAACAAAGAAATAGGACGAGTTTGAGACGGGATACAGATCGACTCTTTTTTCGCTAGTAGTAGCATTCTAACATCACTCCACGCTGATGGTAAAATAGCCTCGTTAAATGAGAAATTAAAGATTTTTAATAACAAGGACCAATACAAGAGTGGTAAGTAGTTAAACATAAAATTAGATATACCGTGCGCATCGCATGATTTCTTTTTAACACGAGATCTAATAATATCTAAGACCTCATCTATAGAAGCCGGAGGGATTGCTTCATCGTAATTTTCGGCATCTGACCATGGCGCATCAGTATAAGGGTGAGGGCGAATTATATCTTCGGGTTTTTTAAAAAAAGCTTCATAAAAGACAGCCCCAACACGAGCCATTTTATCGGGATCCTTAGTTATTTCTCCCGTTGGTAGAATGAAAGCATGTAGAGAGGATGATGAAGATTTGAAGAACTTTTTTGTTTTCGACCAAAATGAAACAGAAATAGCTGAGGAAGAGTTGCGCATTGATAATGTATATGTCAGTTGATATGCCAGAAAAACTTTTAGTTCTTTTTTAGCAACTTTTCTTAATACCCGTACTATATTTTTTAATGCTAAATCGCGGGTTCTAATCTGTCTAAAGGATAACGCACGAATATACGACATAAACGATCGTAGTTCTTTTGGAATAGCAATTCGATATTTGTGAAGTGGAAAAAAAATAGTACAGCGTAAGATCAGCAGGGAAAGAAAGGTTATGTAGTCATTATATACTTCGTCTAACTGATTCAAGTTCCATCTGTCTTCCCAAAAGGGATAAACGTAATCTGAAAATATGGAAAAAACTTTCCAATGGATATTTCGACCAAACGAAGTC